GGAGAGGAGTTTTGTTCAACTCCATCGCGCTGAAGCTGCGAGGCTAAAAGTAAACAAGAAAAATATCTATTCCACAAAGTGTAGCTCAAACCCCCACAAGCAATGGCACACATGGTTTAGGGAAAAAAAAAAAAAAAAGAGGAAGAAAAAAGTTGTGTTTTTTATCCCTGCTCTCCCCCCCAAACTCCCCTTGCTCAAATCGAGAACACACAATGCAAAAAGGGAGAAGCAGCTGCAAGCCTCCTCCAATTATTGTGCTAAATTACCAAGCCAAAGGCGTTTAAAAAGAGAGAGAGAGGGAGAGAGACAACAGATCGAGAGAGAGAGAGAACATGCAATTCTAGTACAACATGGATCCAAACTCACCATGGCGGAATAGGTGTGGACTAACATCTGGAAATAAAAAAAGTCTTGTAATGGCTAAAAAGAAAATAATGGTGATAGTGCTAATAATTGGAGGGGGGAAAAAATATCAAGGAGATCTGCAAAGGGCCGTGTTGGACACAGGAGAACAGCTTGAGATATTTCGAAGTCTATCCATCAAACAAAAAGGAAAAAAAAAAAAAAAAGGACCAATGCCCCCCTAAACCGAGCCTGGAAACCTCTATCTACATATATGATTTACCCCTCCCTCTCTGGGGTTTCCCCCCCCTCCTTTTTTTTTTCCCTTTGAGCTCCCAAATACAATCCTCTTCAACCCAAGGCTAGGCTCAGACTGCTCCGCTACCCCTTCCTCCCTTTCCTTCTCTACACCGCCTCATAATAATTGATATTCATGACTATTAATATTACACGACTACTTTAAAGGGAGAATGCAGGACCAAATGGAGCGTGAAGCTGGCAGCCAGCTCGAGAGCTCCCCTACTATTGTAAATGACGTTCATTCAGTGGAGAATTACTAGATGTAATCAGACGAGGGGGGCTGGCAGAAGCAGAGGTTGGGGAGAGGGAGAGGGGGAAAAGTTTAGCAAGGAAGAGGCATAACTTCAATGAACTCGAGCAGAGGAAGATGCTGAAAGTAGGAACTGCGGGGCTGGAGCGGGGAAGTGAGAGGAAACAATGCTAGAGGCGAAGAAAAAGAAGAAAACTCCCATATTTTCTTTTTCTTCGTTTTTTTTTTTTTTTTTCTTTGGTTTTCACATTTAATTATACACTCCTAATACGAGGAATTGATTGCCTTCGGTGCTTTTGTTCTTGTAAGTTTGGGGTTTTGTTTTATTTTTTTTTCTTTTTAAACAAATAACGAGGAAAACCAGGCTTTCCTAAACATCCACCTTTCTTGGTTTTTTAAAGAAATGGAAGACGAAATGTGCAGTCTCTGTAACATATGTCTATTTACAGCGAAGATAAAGCCCTTCTGGTGCATGTTACAGATCGTATTTATTCGCAATAGCCAAATAAACACTTGAATCTGCACTAAGTTGGGCTCCACTTTTTTCTGAATCTTGTTCCTCCCTTCCCGATACGAAAAGATAAATAAAAATGTATGTACGTATACGTCCAGATTTTCACCCAAATGTAAAATGTATGCAGTGATTTTTAAAGGATGGTAAATTTATAGTTGTGAGGCAAAGCCAGAGGCGATATAAAACCTTTTTGATGTTGCAGGAACCCGTTCAACTGGACTGTCTGCCATTTCTGTTAAAGTTCAACTTACGTTCCTTCCTAAATAGACTCACACTTCCCAGGGCAGCCCCCCCCGCGCACACACACACACACACACTTCTGTTTTAAGAACAGATTCAGTTTAAGTGGCTGAGACGCCCCTTCGGTCGTGTTGTTAATTATAAATTGGAAAGAAGAGAGAGAAAAAAATTAATAGTAAAGAAGAGAAACAATTTTTTTCTTTAAAAAAGATAGATGTAGAGAGCTTCAGCTCTTAAAAATATCTGTAACAATATTTTGTCTTTACTTTTTAATGCTATGTGTTACAAAATGTATTAGGGAGCACCCCAAGTCCGGGTATATCCAGCCTGCAGCCAAATCCCACCCAACCGCTCCCCGACTCAGCTTCTCTCCCACGGCAGTCTAGAAACACGGGTGTCCGTAAACTGCACAGCGGCTTCAAAAGGAGGGTGGGAAATAAAGCCCCGGAGAAGCTGGGGAGGGGAGATGTTTTGTCGCCTGGTGCTGCGGGCAGAGACAATGGCCGGGCTGTGCCTGGAGATGGGGAGGGAAAAGCAGCGAGGGCTCAGCGGGCTATGATCGCCGGCGGGACGGACACACGGACACATGGACACACGCACATACAAGAACACAAACACACACGGCGGGCTGTGCTTATTCTGCGTATGCTGGGGTTTGCCAGTTGATAATTAGCCTGACGGCAGCTTTTGGGAGTGGAAACGTTTCTCCGGTGCGGTCGGCGGCCGCTCTCCCGCTCCCTTTCGTCC